TATGTAACTTAGGCTGACTTGGACTCACCACTTGTGGTCCAGGCTGGCCTGAAACTCACAGCAAGCCTCCTGCTTCAGCCTCCTGAGTGCTGGGATGACAGGTGTGCACCACCACGCCCAACTGGCCACCACTTCTTGGAAGGGGAGCACTGCACACTTAGAGGTGAAAGGTATGATCCTGGGGACAGAAGCTTTTTGTCTTCCAGCCAGGTGCTTTCTACGGGGAGGTGAGTGGCTTTGCATAGTAATTCACTGTACATTCTTGAGAGGTGTCTTTGTTAAAAGATCTGTTTGAACCCCACGCTCAGCCTCCGTCCTGATGCTGACATTTAGATGGGACCTGGGCTGAGATGCTGGGTGACTGATCCCACCCTGAGCTCCAGGTCTGGCCACATCCAGTCTCCCCCAGCCTGAGCTGGTGAGCAGGAATCAGAGTGGTTTAGAAAGTTGCCCGTTGAGTCAGGCATGGTGGTGCACCCCTGGAATCCCAGCACTCTAGGAGGCTGAGGCAGGAAGATGGCAAGTTTGGGTGAAGCCAGGGCAACTTAGCAAAGCTCTGTCTCAAAATAAATACAAAGAGCTGGGGATGTAACTACAATCAAAGGCTGCAGATTCAATGGCTAGTATCATGACAGATTAAGGGAATATTTTGAGGAATGTGACACACAGATTGTGTGAAAGACCCCCAACCGAGCTATTCCAGGTGCATTGATTCTTTTGTTTTGTTTGAGACAGGGTCTTGCTGTGTAGTCCAGGCTGGCCTTGAACTCCTTTGTAGCCAGGATGGCCTCAAACTCATGGCAGTCCTCCTGCCTTAGCCTTCCAAGTTCTGGGATGACAGGCTATGTCACACGAGGCCGATGGCGGAACCAAAGAGAGCTCTTGTAGAGGGGGCTCTAGAAAGCTTGGCGCCCATCTAGCAGGATGAAGGTGTGTGTTGGTGGTGTGTAAGAAGACACAGCAGAATATTACTGGAGACATGGCTTTGAAATACCTGAGATTTGAGGCCAGCCTGGGTTATAAAGTGAGCCTGGACTGAATAGTGAAACCCTGTCTCAAAAAGACAAAAACAAACACCTCCCTCCCCCCTCCCCCACACAAAAAAAACCAGCATGAAGGGCTACGTCCTCAGCAGGAAAGTAAGCTCTGGGTCACTCTGCAATGCTCACTCCAAATGCGGTAGGGGAGCTGTGAAAATCTGCCACAGAGGGAACAGTGATCACAGGCAGGACAGGCATCACGACTGGGGTAAGAAGCCCTTCTCGCTGGGGACTGTCCTCGCTCTCGCGCCTGCCTGAGGCCTTTGTGTGCTGAAGTTTCTTCTTTTCGCTACATCAGGTACATTGTTCTGTGAACTGTGGTACTGTAGGAATAAAATACTACATTAAGGAATTGTTTTTCAGAAATAAAAATAAAAATGAAGACACTTAGTACTGCCTCTGCCTAATGTGGTAGGCCATCTTCTATACACAGGCAACTTTCTAGTTCAATAGGGAGTGGCAGTATTTTTTGTTGTTAAATCTTTCATAGATACAAAACATATAGGTGCATGTCTAAAACATAGCCCAGTAGTAACCACACATTGCTCTTAAGAAAAAGAGCACTTTGCTTATTTTAAAGTTCCCTTGGCCTCTGCCCAGTTTGTGCCCTTAATATTCAACATTTAATTCATGCATCTTGTTCTCATGTTGTTTGCAAATTCGGCCCATCATTGTTTTTTGTTTGTTTCTTTTGGACAGGGTCTTGCTATGTGGTCCAGGTTGACCTCCAGCTGGCATTGTGGTCTTCCTGCCTCAGTCTCCTGAATGCTGGGATTACAGGCAGGCACTACCATGCTTGGGTATAGTGGATTGCTTTGTAATTTGCTTTGTCTCAATGTTACAGCCTGAGATCAGGCTTCATTGTTGAGGGGGCTTTATTCAAGAATTTTCACTATTCTTGTGTTTGATTTTCACTGTTCACTGTATTTGATTATAAAGGATTATACCAAAGGGTATGTGTTTTGTTTTTCTTACATTGAACTGTGTGGACATCTATTTTTGCCCCCAAATGATGCTAATATAAACATCAGTAAGTCTATTTGGACACATGTTTGCATCTTCAAGTGTTTTTCTAGCAAGGATGGTGAACCTATTTGTACTTGTACCTCAGCGGGCTGTTTGTTATCACTGAAAACTCAAAAAGGTTCTCCATCGCTGCTTCTAGGATAATATATTCTCATTCTGCTACTGGGGATTCAATGTGGGGCCTTAACACTGAATGACATCCTCTTATATTTTTGCTTTTTGTTTTAATGAGACAGGGTCTATCCATGTAGTGCAGGCTGGCCTTGAACTCACTTATGTAGCCCAGGCTGGTCTCCAATTCATAGTGATCCTCCTGCCTCAGCCTCCCAAGTGCTGGGATTACAGGCATGTGCCATCACACCTAGCAATGACCTCAACCCTTTTTTTTTTTTTTTAATTTTATTTAAAGAGAAAGTAAACCCAAAACAGTAAAAGGGTACAAGTAATACAGAATTTCAAAAAAACAAACAGTAAGAAATCACTAGTTAATAGATTACATATTGTCATCTTAGAAATAGTTGTTCAAATTACAAAATTAAAGCTTGTAAAGTGGACATTCCAACAGTGAGACTGCAAACAGTTCTGTTCAATGATCCAACAAAAACTCAGTAATATGGTTACACACTTATATATACATGCAGTTATATCCTTTAGAGCACTTTCTTTTCCTCTCTTTTTTACAATAACAATTATACATTTTGGGTTTTATTACTCCCACAGTTCTTATTACTTTTTTTTGAAGAGAATAAAACCAAATGTGACAAAACAAAAGCAGTCAAAACAAAAGGATGGACATAGTACATGATGTAAAAACAGAATACAAGGTGATCAACAATGGTTACCATAGGGCCTCTTGCTATCTTAAAAAGAATGGCCTATATCATCAGGTATAATAAAATTGAACAAAACAGTACAGAACAAAACCAATAAAACTGAAACATTGGAGACATTACAGGACTTCAAAAGAAGATAATAGTCAAACCAGAATGGGCATCATAGGGAATCTTATTGCCTTCAAAGTAGTTGCCTATACTCTCAAACTTGATACTATCAAACAAAACAAAATAGAGTAAAATCAGTCAAAACAAGATGGTGAGAGCAATACAGGGGTTCAAATCAAGTTAATAGGAAATCAAAAAAGTTACTATAATATATCCTGCTTTTTTAAAATTTATTTTTTCCCTTAATTAAAAAAATAATAAAATAAATTAAAAAAAGGGAGGTTGAGATAAAAAAAAGACATAACAACACAGGTCAGAACAGAACAGTTTAAGCAACGTACTGTTTCACCACAAGATAACCTGACATAATAGTAGTTACCATAGTGTCTTTTTCCTTGAAATATTTGAGTATAAATTCGTATACTATAGCATCAAACACATCAAGACAGTGTGCAACCATTCAAGAGAATGAAAGTATTACAGGATATTTAGAACCAGCCAACAGAAAATGAACAATGGTTTCTATATTATCTCTTTGCCTATAAAAAATTTTGTTTAGGGGCTGGGGATTTAGCTCAGTGGTGTAAGCGCCTGCCTTGCAAGCAGGCAGTCATGAGTTCAATCCCTGGTACCGGTAAAAAAAAATACAAAAAAAAAAATTTTGTTTATACTATCATATATAATGAAATCCAGTAAGATACAACATGATAAAATCAATGGAGACAGAAGACCAACAGTTTGATGGGACTTCAAAACAAGATGATATTAAATCAGCACTAGCTATTATGATGTCTTGTTTTCTTCAAAACAGCTGTTCATACCATCACAGAAAACAACCCAGAATAAAACCATTCCAATTAATGAGTGAAAACATTATAAGGCTTCAAAGCAATATAATGGGGAATCATGATTACCACATACCTTTATGTATTCATATCATTTCTTACACTAGGGAAACTATTCGGTATTCATACATGTGAGAAAAATATGGAACGCTTCACGAATTTACGTGTCATTCTTGCGCAGAGGCCATGCTAATCTTCTGTGTATCGTTTCAATTTTAGTATATGTGCTGCCGAACGAGCAGCACCTCAACCCTTAAAAAAAATTTTTTTTTGAAACTATATGTGGTGGTATACCCCTATAATCCTAGCACTTGGGAGACTGCAGCAGGAGGATCACCGTGAGTCTTGGGCTATTTAGTGAGTTCAATGCTAGCCTATATTGCTGAACTGTATAGCAAGATCGTCTTACTGAAAATATAAAATAAAATAAAATAATTAAATTTTCTTTGGAGACAGGATCTTGCCAAGTCACTACATTGGCTAGGTTTATCCCAAACTTTCGATCCTCCTGCCTCAGTCTCCCAGAGTAGTTTATCTTTTCTAATGTGTACTGGATAAGGCCAATTGTCTTACAAAACGATTGTACATGCAAGATTATCCTTATATTAGCCGTGAGTCACACATGCACAGAAACAAGCACGCACGCACTGCACTCACATACATGTGCGTCCCCCATATGCACGCACTCAGGCACACACTACACTTGCATGCCTGTCACACATCACACACAAACACAGTGCACCACATGTACTCTTGCACACATGCATACTGACACAATAGGGCACACGTAAGACACCCGCGCCCCCGCAGAGGACCGGACTCTGGACTCTACCCCCTCACAGACCTGCAAACGCCCATCACAGATTTCGTGCACAAACGCCCTGACGTGTCCAAACTAAGGGGCGGGGTCTCAATCCCTCGTTTGAGGAATCTTGTCCCGGCCGAGCCACCGTCGGACGCCAGTGTCAGAGGTCAACGGTAACGTTGGCCGTGGCGTTTTTGGTTTTTGTGGTTTTTTTTTTTTCCTCTCACCCGGAAGCCACGGCTGCGGGGAGTCAGCGCGGAGCCCGTGTCGTTGCGGCAGGGGGAGCCGGGCCGGCCTCTGGACCTTGGGCTGGCTCTGTGGAGCCGGACGCTGCCCCCGGCGCGGCGGGGAGGATGGTGTGGAGCGGCCCCGGGCCCGCCGCGGGCCGCCGCGAGTGAGCGCAGCGCGGCCGCGGGCGTCTGAAAAGCAGCGAGGCGGCCGGGCCGGGCGCGGGGAGCCGCTGCCGCCTCGCGGGGTGAGCCGGGGAGGGGCTGGGCCGAGGCGCGGGCTGGGGGTCCGGCCCGCCGCGCTGTCACCGCGCCCGGGTTCGTCCCGCGCGGTCCGGGCTGGGCGGGCGGCGGCGCTCGGCACGCAGGGAGCCGGGCCTCTGTCCTCGGAGGCTGGCGCGGAGGGCTTGTGGGTCCTTTTCCATTTTGGACTTGGGGGAGCCTGCGATACTGAGAACGCCGTTTGCAAATCAGACAGCTTGAAAAGGAGGCCGGAGGGAGACGCGGCCGACTGCAGGAGCCGGAAGCGGACCGGAGGGCGCCGCCGTGGCAAGGGCGGCGATGGGGTGGGCTTTTCTCCTAACGCACGTTTTAATAAAACCAAGCGGAAGGCGACTTGTGGGTACCCCAGGGACCTGTGATTTCGGGGCATCCGCAGCAGACCCAGGCGCGGGCTGCCGTCGTGCAGCCTCCCCCAACGCCTTCCCGTGGGACCTCTGGCCAGGGGCCTGTGGTCAGGGCGGCCGAGGTTAGAGCTCGGCTGGGCCGGCGGCCTTCTGGGTGAGGCGTGGCGAGTATCCTTGGAGCCCTCTTTGGCAGCGTTGTGGCTCCTCCAGGGTCGCAGCTTTCGCCTCAGAAGTGAGGAGCCCTGGGAGACAATGGGGAGAACAGCTCGGAAGCTGGTGATGAATCGTGGTAACTTGGTCTGCTCGTTCGGTACCTCATCGCTCTTGCTCAGCTTCTGCGTGCCATTTTGTATGAACGCGGTATCTGTTTTAACAGGGAGAGTCTCTTGCTTCCCCGTGTTCATCTAAGGATTCCAGAAAGAAATAGGCCTGTTGTGCACCTAACAGTCACTTCACAACTCCAGGTGCATTTACTCTTAAGAGCGACGAGGTTGGTGTTGACTTTGTAGTAAAAGTGCTAGGAAAATTTGTCGAGCTGGCATGTGGGTACTAAGGTCACCAAATGCTAACTCTCTTTTGGGGCTCTAGGTGCAGCTGCTTTGTGAAGGGGAGGGAGGGAGGGAGAGTGAGCGCTAAGTCCAAATATATCTTGTGCCTGTGAGCAACTTAGAGTAATAGTCTATAAAATGTGGCAGGACTGAATTACCACAGGAGTATACCAGCTGTTAGGTTTTGTTATGACTTGGGTCTGCAGGAGGATTTCGTTTTCGTTAGGAAGCGGCCTTTCAGGTGGATCTAGAAAGGCCAGGAGGATTTGGGCTATCAGATTTCAGGGCCAGTTTGTTAAGAGCACCTAGGCTAGGTACCTGAAGTGTTGGCAGTAGCAGCTGGTCATAGGTTAAATGTTAACGACAGAGAAGCATCTGTTACCCGAGCTTCCGGTGGATTTCCAGGTTCGGAAGAATTGTTCTGCATTTGATAAGCAGCGAGTGACATAAAAGTAGTGCTTGGCTTATTTTAAGATCGGCGGAAAGGATACTGCTCGTCATGCAGTGAACAATTGGGAAATTAAACTTGGGGTCTGCAAGTTGTTCTGGGGCACATGCTTAGTTTGCAGGAGCTGCGCTCAGGTGTGGTCCTAGCAGCTAATGCTATGGGCGAGTGATAAATGAAAGCCCTTTAGTCTTCTGGCTGTTCTTCACAATATCGAGTCTACTTCAACAGAAGTGTTTTACTGAGTATGATTGAAGAACCTTTGAAGCCTTTTAAACAAGATGCCATGTCACTGCTCTGGGACCTTACAGTTAGTCTCAGGACCTCTCTGACTTCAGTCTTAGCCTTTTTAAAACATCCTGGGAACGCACCATTCACTGTTTAATGCTTCTCTTTCCCTTTATAGAGAAGCATCTGAAGAGGAATGGTCTCACCAGGGAACTCAGTGTAGCATATCATAACCTAGAGAGGACATGTCTAGGGCTTGTCTTATCAGTACTAACAGGCCGAGAAATCTCATTACCATGGAAAAGGGTACATTTCTTATATCCTTACATTCTAGTTAAAATAAAAAAGAAACAGAGCAAAGAATGACTTTTTAGCAAAGTGCATGTTCATGTGCGTTTTATTTTAATAAAATTGGAAATCCTTAAGTTACATTCCCTGGGTAGAAAGCAAATAAATTTGACAAGAGATCTGTAGCACTTCAGGGAACAGTTGGGAAATTAAATTTGGGGTCTTTTTAAAAGATGACCAGATAGTTTAAAAACACCAAAGAGATGGGGTCAGGGATTTAGCTCAAGGCCATAAGTGCCTGCCTGGCAAGCTGTGTATAATGGTATGTTTAAGCGTAATTCTGGGGTGCCCACAACATAGTGAAGCATTGTCATTTAGTAGTTGGGTTTTGGTGCCTTTGGTTACAAGCACTGTTTTTAAAACATTTCCCATTATTTATACTGACTTTTGACATTACAATAAGATTTCTAGTTGAGACTAAGCGTTAATCTTGGCATTGCTCATGACTTATTTTGTTAAGTATCTGTTATGTCCCAAATTATTACATTTTTTTTTTGTTTTGTTTTGTTGTTCTTTTTTGGTGCCGGGGATTCAACTCACAACTTGGAGTTAGTTTGCCAGGCAGGCACTTATGCCACTGAGCTAAATTCCCAGTCCCTCAAATTATTAAATTTTAATAAATGACTAATTTTTTAAAAAGATGACCAGATAGTTAGTTTAAAAACACCAAAAAGATGGGGCTAGGGATTTAGCTCAGGGGCATAAGTGCCTGCCTGGCAAGCTCAAAGTTATGAGTTCAATTCCCAGTACCAAACAACAATAAAACAAAACAAAAACACCCCAAAGACAGAATTATTTTTAGTCTTGGAACAGTAGTGAATTTAGTTTTTAAAAAGAGGAGGGCTATATTGGAAGGTACTATGATTCATGACTTTGAAAGTGGAACAATATATTCATTAATTGTAAGTGGAAATATAGCCAAGGTATGAATTGTGGGAATAAGTCGTTACAGACATGTAATTATTTTTATGTTATGTAATTTTTTGGTACCGGAGATTGAACTCACGACTTTGTGCTTGCCAGGCAAGTGCGGCTGAGCTAAATCCCTGTCCCCCAGACATGTATTTATGCCAGGCTGTGTTCTTTTTTGTCTTTGTAAGAGTCTTAGTGTTGTCTAAACTGCATGTTTAACAACAGGGTTTCAACTTTGTTTTCTTTTGTAGATTCTTTTTGCAACAATTAAAATTTGAGTTATTGTAAAAGTTCTTCTCTAGGAGTTGTATCAGATTAAGAAACAAGAAGAAACAAGATTTTACTCTTGTTTTGTGGTCAGATAGAAGAATGCTGAGATAGGAATTCCCTTGATGAAAAATAAGTTAAAATGTTTATTTTCAAAGAAATTCAACTTGTTCTTTTTACTGAAGTTAATGACTAAAATACCACATTGTGTATCCATGGCATGTGAAATTGGTTTGCTTTTTCAACTTAAGAGTTTGAAGTGAATCCTGCATGTGTTGGGGTCAAATGGATTAGGCCAGAATCCAAGTCTGTCATTGGTTTGCAGTGTGCTGCCCATATCACTTAACCTCTTTGACTCTGTTTCTTCTTTAAAATCGGGATAGTACTTGGGTACATGCCTGTAATCCCAGCACTTGGGAGGTTGAGGCAGGAGACTTGCCATGAATTCAAGGCCAACCTGGGCTACATAGTTTTAAGCCTGAATTACATAGTAAGTCTGTCTCAAAAAACTAAAATAAGTAAATAAATAAATAGGGATAGTAATATCTACCTAGCAGAGTAGAAAATTAAAAAACATGTTGGCATATTTTAAGCAGTAGTAGCTATTTAGTGTGCTGTTTTCTCACTCCCTAGTCTTTGTGATGTGGTTTCTGCCTCTTTCACTCTAGCAAAAGGATTTCATTTACCTTCCTGTTGATGCTTTGATTGCAGAATTCTATAGGTGCTTTTCATTCTTTCTCTCATTTGATGGGGTTGATTCTTTGCTCAAATTCATTATCTTTATTAGGCAGTGATAGAGCTTAATGGTGAATGAGTAGGCTCTGGAGGCCACCTTGTTTTGAATCCAGGTTCGCTTAACACTATGATCTCAGGCAAGTATGCTACCTGACTTATACCTTAATTTCCCCACTTAAAAGTGAAGAGGTTATAAAGAGCATACATTACAGTGTATATGTGTGTAGCTCTTAGAACAGAGCCATTCTCATAAAAAGTAGGCAATAAAGCTTGACATGATTATTATTGTTGTTATTATTTTTTTTGGTACCGGGAATTAAACTCAGAGCCTTGCACTTGCCAGGCAGGCATTGTGCCCCTGAGCTGTGTTCCTGCCCAGAGATTATTGCCAAGCCCTTTCTTGGTGCAAGGCACTGACTGACAGGAGCTGAGTGCACAGGAGCAGGTACAAGATGGAGGCTGCGTCAGTGGGCCTGCAGGGAAAGTGTTTCTAGGGGTCTCTGAAGAGTGAAACCCACAGTACTCTTAGTTGGTGAAAGGTCACTAGTAGATGGCTGTGCCTCTTGGCAGAAAGAGGAGTTGATTTGGTAGTTTGGGTTAAGATACCTGTTGGTTCCAGATACCATTGGGTCGTGTAAGTGGAAAGCTCCCGTAGGTAGGCTTTGGATCAGGAAAGGAGGAGACATACAAACGGTGATCAGAAAATATAGAGAGTGCTTAAAGTAAAAGTTATTGGGCCAGGGATATAGCACAGCGGCGTAAGGGTCTACTTGGCAAGCGCAAGGTTGTGAGTTCGATCCCTGGTATCAACAACAACCACAACAACAATTCCAGCTGGGAGTGGTAGTGCACACCTGTAATTCCAGCACTCGGGAGGCTGAAGCAGGAGGAGTGCTGTGATTTGGAGGCCAACTTGGGCTGCAAAATGAGTTCAACATCAGCCTGAACTACACAGTAAGACCCTGCTTCAAAAAGCTAAAAGAAATAACAATAGACCTTAAAAAAACACAATAAAAGAGTAGGGGATTTAACTCAGTGGCATAAGCACCTGCCTGACAAGTGCAAGATTGTGGGTTCAATCCCCAGTACCATAAAAAAACCCCAAAACCCAAACAAACCACAATAAAAGACACATAACT